CACCACAGGCATACCCACCCAATGGGCCATGCCCACCTGGCACCCAGCGATAAACAAGTGGGTTTGGGGTTGCAGTTTGGGCACTCGGTCTCTAAAAGGTTTGCCATCACTGCACTAGAGGAAAGAGTTAGGGGCACTTTGCTTCCCAATCATGACAAAGAACCCAAAATATCTCCTCCTGATTCTTGCTCTAATGCCAGTGCAGAATCTTGCGGCCAGCGGAAAAATCAGATTATCCCCCCCAAACTTTCTGCATCCTTGGACTAAACCCAACTAAATGAACCTCAGCTAGGAAACTACATTTCAATTATCTGCCATCACGAGGACCCTCACTGGAAGGATTTCACCTGCCTACTTACCCAGGGATGCCTGCCGATTCCATGCGGTTGGCCAAGGAGACGTCGTGGGACCAAACATCGTACTGCCATTTCCGAAGTCCGATCACCCCACAAAGAACATTTCCGGAATGAATGCCAACTCTCATGTTGATGTCCACCCCTGTGGCTTCCCTAACTTGCCTGCAAAAATAAAAATGATAAGGACTCCAGGGTGGAAGACAAGATGGAAAGCCATTTGATTTCCCTGTCTCTAGACTTAAGAATCACACTGATTTTGGAATATGTTCCCATTGCTCAAGTCTTAAAGTTGCCAAGGTTGAACAGCCCTGCTCTAATCCATGAAAGTTTAAATCAGTGTAAACTAACTGTACGACACCTTGTTTCTTCTATGTGAATATTTAACAGAGCAAAAAGTATTTTAAAAAAAAACTACACTGGTACAATCAGAGGAGGAAGAAATGTTTCAGAAGATTAGGAGGGCCTGTTATTATCTATCGTAATGCTACCTTATCTATTCCTGCGTCACCACTCCTAACCTTTTAACTAGCTTTTTAAAAGTACCTACTTTATCGCTTCGCACATGTCAAGGCCCATTTTCACACAATTTTTGGCATGTACCGGCAAGGACACAGGTAAGCCCGAGACACAGTAATAACAGTCTCCCAAAATTTTTATCCTCATGCATTCATTTTCCTGCAAAACAAAACAAAAAAAAATAGCCCATGAATCATCAAGCATTGCAAATATGAATTAACCGGCGTTTGTCTTAAGCAGTGCAATTATAGGCTTTTTTGCAGGGAGAAAACAGATCTGCTGTCATCTCTTCATCTGAAGCTGCACTTTTCTCTATTCCCCCCAAAAAAAAGAAAGAAAGAAAGGAAAGAAAAATGGAGGGGGGGGGAAAGGATGGTTCATTTGTAATTTATCTGGAGTTCAAGCATGGGGAATATACAAGACAGTCCTCAATTTAAACCCGTTGGTTTAGGAGTTACGGCAGCAGTGAAAAATCTTCCTTCGTGCAAATTTGAAATTATCCATGTACAGCCAATGGCTGTTATATAGGGAGTCCTCAACTTACAACAGTTCATTTCGTGACTGTTCAAAGTTACCACGGCACTGAAAAAAAGTCACCTATGACCGTTTTTCACATTTACAACCGTCAGAGCATCCCCGTGGTCACGCGATCAAAATGTGGACACTTGGCAACTGGTTCATATTTACGACGGTCACCATGTCCCGGGGTCACAAGATCCCCTTTTGCGACCTTCTGACTAGCAAAGTGTTTGAGGAAGCCGGATTCACTTCACAACCGTGTTGCTAATTTAACAACAGCTGGTCAGGATTGAACTCCTGGCAGTGGGCAGAGTTAGCTTGCAATACTGCATTCTAACCACTGGGAGGGAAGGAAGGAAGGAACGAACGAATGAAGGAACGAAGGGTGGGGAAGGAAGGAAGGAAGGGAAGAAGGAAGGAAGGGAAGAAGGAAAGAAGGAAGGAAGGAAGGAAGGAAGCGCAATAGCACTTAGTCTTATATACCGCTTTATAGTGCTTTACAGCTCTCTCTACACAGTTTACAGACTCAGCCTATTGCCCCAACCATCTGGGTCCTCATTTTACCAATCTCGGAAGGATGGAAGGCTGAGTCAACCTTGAGCCGGTCAGGATCGAACCGTTGGCAGCAGGCAGTCAGCAGAATTAGCCTGCATTCCTGCATTCTAAACACTGTGCCACCATGTCTCGCTTAGCATGTCTCACTTAGCAACATAAATATTGAGCTCCATTCCGGTCGTAAGTGAGGACTGCCTGTATGGCCAAACTATGCGACACCATGATTTTTATAAGGCTAGTTTATTACTACACAATGCACAATCTTGTTGTGAGACTGCGCAATTAAAAAAAAATAATACTGGCAGTTCCTAGTTTACCAACCAGAGTGGCTACATTCACACAATAGGCCAGTTGTTTTCTCGACAACTGGAAGATATGGGGATTTCAGTTCCCAGAATTGACTGACCTTTGCAATTTGGTCAAATTTTCCAAACAGTTCATTCAGCATCACCACCAGTTCCTTCGGAGAACAATCGCTTGCCAGGCGAGTGAACCCTACAATGTCTGCATACAGGATGCTAGAGAAAGGACAAATATATATATACATATATTTTTCAAAATTTGGATTGCTAACAAAGAATTAAGGGAGAACTGGAATAGCCATTTCGAACTTTTTAGTTCTTTTCAACCAGACATACCCTTCTGAGATTCAAACCTGGGCTGTCTGCATGTTAGGCAGATGTATTAACCTCTAGGCCACAGGTTCTTTCTCACTTTGTCAGCTATGAGACAGGGGAGAAGAATTATCTTGAGTTTGGTGCACCCTGTTGGCCCAAATATGGGAGAA